AAAAAAAAAAAAAGGAATTCTCAGGGATCCTTTTGCCTCATTCAGGACTGCTGGGATTACAAGGGCATACCATCAGACCCAACTGTTGGTTTTTGTTTTTTTTTAACAATATAAACTTTTTATCTGAGCCTCTGAGGCCTATAATGATCGATTTGTGGTACTGAGCACTGAACAGAGTGTTAGACAAACATTCTAGCGCTAAGTTAACATCTCTAGCCCTTTTTTTTTGAGACAATGTCTCATTAAGTTGCTCAGGCTGGCTTCAAACTTGCCATCACCCTGCTTCGGCCTCCTCCTACCTCAGCTGCATTAAAAGCATGGCCACGGTGCCCCAGTGTCCCATCTGACTTCTGCTTGCTGCTTCCTAAGCTGCTTCCTCTCCTGTTTACCTGCTCCGGTACACAGCTTTCCTCCGTCCCTGACCATGCTGCACTGCTCCCCACTTTGAGCACTACTTCTTCCTCAGCCTAGAATTCTCTTCCGAAGTCACCGCAGACTGATTTGGAGCCCTATCTGGAGTTGTCTGCTCTGCTTACTTGTTTATGACTCTCCCCATCAGAGAGGCCCAGCACTCAGGACACCTACAGAAAGCACTTGCTCACTTGTTAGATGAATAAATGAAACCAGTTGCTGAGTTGGCTGGCATAGAACTTGCAGTTACAGAGGGGCAGAAGAGGGGAGAGTTGGGGAGAGGGGCTGCATTATGAGAACAGTGGCTACAGGTTCAATCCCTAAAGCCAGTTCTGTATCCAGAGCACAAGAGTCACCTCATTTTCCCTCGAGGCCCACCTATGTGGCTGCCACTATGACTTCCCAACTACCTTCAATTTAGTCTGTGTCTTAATAATATACCTTCATCCTCTGCTATGTCTAGAAGGTTTCTGGTGATTAGAAAAGACTTCATCTGGTCCTCATCCTACAGAGTGGGCAGGAACTGTACTGTACTCATCCAAAACCCCCATCAGGCCCAGAACTGTGATTTAGCCAATACAGACATTCTAATACACCCTGAATTTAACTATAGTCCTCCTCAGGTATTTCCAACCATTTGCCTCCTTCACATTGCTATACATTGCTCCAACATGACTAGTTCCCTTGTCTTATCACATTAGAGCACTCCTAGTTAGCTTCCCAAATCTCAGCACAAAGTCTTTGGACTAGAATCTTCTGGTTCATTCTTATTGTTTTATGTTGTGCTTGCTTTATTAACCCAGCAACGTCTTTAAGTGATATTTGGCAACCTCATGGGAAAAAGAAGAACCAAGCCTTCAAAAGTACAGATGGTCAGCTGGTCAGAGGTCAGCTCCTTTACAAGACATGGCTATGGTCTCAGGAACAACATGCGATAGAACAAGAGCAAGTAAAGAAGGGGTTCATGAGACGGCTCAGTGGTCTAAAGCACCTGCTTAGGAAAGCTTAGGCAAGCGCGCAGGGACCACAGTTTGATCCTCAGCACCACATGCTACACCAGCCCTGCCCCTAGGGTGGGCTGAGCTGGCCACACAAAGAAAAAAAGGGGTGGGGGGAAAATAAAGAAGTGTGTGCCACAGGTTAGGAAGAAACAGGTCAATGATGATGAGGTGGGGATTGAAAACAGAAAGACACAAGCTTTAGATGTCATGAAAAAAAGCCTTGGCCAATTGGATATAGATGGAACAGAGGAATTAGTAAAAATGCTATTGGTCTCAGAAAGGTAGTCCAAACATTAATGATAGAAATAGATGATCAGAGGCATCAAAAGCAGGGAAAATAGCTGGGTATGGAGGCACCACCACTTGGGAGGCTGAGGCAAGAGGATTTCCATGTTTGAGCCCAGTTCGAACTACATAGTGAGACCCTATCTCCAAAAAAACAAAGTAAAGGAAGGAAGGAAGGAAGGAAGGAAGGAAGGAAGGAAGGAAGGAAGGAAAAAAGAGCCCAGCGTGGTAGTGCACATCTGTAATGATAGCACTTGTAATGGAAGCCAAGGCAGGAGGATAATCGTGAGTTCCAAACTGACTAGACCTACAACAGTGAGTTTAAGGGCAGCCTGGAATATATAGCAAGATCCTGTCTTTTGTGTGTGTGTGTGTGTGTGTGTGTGTGTGTGTGTGTGGCCAGCTCAGCCCACCAGGGGGCGCGGCTGGCTGGCATGTGGGGCTGGGGGATTGAACTGTGGTCCCTGTGCTTTGCTAAGCTTGTTCTAAGTAGGTGCTTTAGACCACTGAGCCATCTCACCAGCCCCAGCAAGATCCTGTCTTAAAAAAATAAATATACTGGGCTAGGCATGGTGGCATACACATGTAATCCCTATACTTGGAAGGCTGAGGCAGAAAAATTGCAGCAAATTTGAGACCAACCTGAGCTACCCAGTAAGTTTAAGGCCAGTCTGAACTACATACCGAGACCCTGATCCAAAATATATATATTTATAAAATATAAATAAATGAAAAATTTTAAAAAGGGAATTATCAAACTACACACCAATTTAGACTTCAAACTTTCCTGGCTATATGCTGAAACCAAATGCCTCAAACACACTGACATAAGGCAGCTACACTCTTGGGGCTTGCTGTTCAAGGTTGGTGCAGGACACCTCTGGTTTTAGGTAACTGAAGCCAAGGCAAAGGGCCTGACAATCCTCACCCAAGATTGAAAGTGAGGGAACAGGCACCCTCTCCATTTCCTTCTGGGGCTCACTAACAGAATTTAACATGAAAATTCCAGGGCTAATTTTCAGCCTTTTTTTTTTTTTTTTTTTTTTTGCAGGAGATGGGGAGGATGGGTAGTGTTTGTGGTCCTGGGGCTCAAACCCAGGGACTCACACATGAGAGGCAAGCATGTCCTGGCCCTATTTTTCCAATTTTAACCTTGAGGGTAATGTTTAAAGAATCCTGTTCCCCTGAAAAAAAGGTGCCAAACAACCAAGTAAAGCCTATGAAAATAACCTGTGGGATACCTACCAACAAATACGTAATTCTTTTCATAAAATGACAGCCAGTTTTGAAGGGTCAGTATCTCAGAGAAGGACAAATTAGTGACATCATCCACCAGGCCTGCTTCAGAGTAGTCTCCGGTCACAAATGCTCTGGATGCATCTCGGCCTGCAGGAGAGAAGTTTACAACAGATTGAGTTGTACCAACCCAAGAATCTGTGTTCCAGCTGAGCAAGGTGGACCATATCAGAACCCTGGCTACTCAGTGCAAGGTTCCTTTCTCTGGTGTGAAAGAGACATGTGAGAAACGTGGCACGCCTGTAATCCCAGAGCTTGGGAGGCTGAAAACAGAAGAAGCACTATGAGTCAGATCTACATAATGAGACCCTGTAGACTCTATAATACATAAAAAAAAAAAAAATAAAGAAAAAAAAGGAATCCTTTATTGCTTGGCTGCCCAAGAGAAGCAGGGGCCCTTGGGGAGAAGGCAAGCCAGTAAAGAATTTATTGGGCTGAATGGGGATGGAGTTTGAATACTTCGCATGGTGTTGTCACAGGTGCTGATTGTGGAAGGCTTGGCGCACCAAAAACAAAAGGCGGGAAGAAGCCATGTCAGTTTAGGAGCTGTCATTGGTCCTGGGATCCCTGCGCCGTGTTGACTCTCTGCCATGATGACCCCGTGGACCGCTGCATGGGCACAGATCCAGCACTCAGGAGGCTGTCTTGCATTCAATTCCTGATATCACACCAATTTTTTTTAATGTATTTAGTACAGGGTCTATAGGGTCTCACTGTAGACCACCATGCCCTGTCTCAGTATCCCCCTTAGCACATCCTGGGAGCTGGGCTGGCACAGCACACCAGGGATCAAACCCCAGTCCCTGCACCTGCCTAAGCAGGCGCTTTAGTCTGCTGAGCTATCTGGCTGGCCCTTAAAATTTTTTTAAATGTATTTTCTGAAAAACATCTCCCCTTCTCTGTGAGAGATGTTCCTGGACCTGGAACACACAGCTCTGGCCTTTGTCCTCTTCTTTCAGCAACACTTAGTGTAACCGCCCACTCCCTCTGGCTCCCATGACCCTACACTCCTGGCTTCCTTCTCCTTTCCTGGCTTCTCACTGTTCACCAGCCTCTGGTATCAGCTAGTGTCCACTACCTCTGTCTTCACAGACTTATCCACTCTTGAGGTGGCAAATCCTACCTCTGAGCCAAAGATCACCAGCACTGTATCAGCACAGACTCTGCCTGAACACCCCCTGTCCACATCACTCAGCTCTTACAGACATCCTAAGTTCAAACTTTGCACAATGAGTAAGTCATCAACAACTCCGTCCCAAGAGGGCCGCATCCCTTCTAGGGTTCCTGCCTGTAAATGCCAACCAGTTGCTCAGTCCAGAAATGTACTCAACGCTTCGTCTCTACCATTTAATCAGTGCCCAAGTTCTGCATTTTCTCTCAGCTAGTTCCAGTTTCTGTGTGTTTACCTGTCTACCAATCGCCAAGCAAGCCCAGGCTGCCATCATCCAATCTGATCTAGGATGGCAGAACCCTACTGGGTCTACCCATTGTCATTCTTCCTCCCACTCCATGTATTCTCTATACAACACTCAAAATCTTTCTTCCTTGTTTTTTTTACTGTAGAGATCAAATCCAGGGCCTTGCACATGGAGGACAAGTTCTCTCAAACTGAGCTACAATCCCAGCCCAACACTGTTATTTTCATCATGAGTTCACCAGATCATTACTTTGCGAAGAAATCCTCAGTGCCTCTCCCTTGCCTATGGCAATGACCTAATTCCAGTGCCTCGCACCAACGGCCACACCCCTTGTCTGGCCACATCCCTCTTTGCTCCCCGAAAGCTGGTTCTCTCTTCTCTCCCACTAGTTTAGGGGCATCTGATAAAAGTGGTGCTTTTTCCTTTCGACACATTAAAAAATAATTCTTTCACTGTAAATAATGAATCTACTTAATGTCAATACTTAATGAGTGTGATACCTATTTAATGTCTTTTATTTTGTGTTTGTTTTATTTTGAGACTGGATCTCTCTTATATAGCTCAGGATGACACTGAACTCACTGTGTAACCCAGGCTGGCCTCACACTTATGGAGATCTTCAGGCTCTCCAGTGCTGGAATTCTAGGTGTGCACCACCCTACCTGGCTATTCTTTTTTTTTTTTTTTTTTTTTTTTTGGTGTGGGGGAGGCTGGTCTTTAAAAAAAAAAAATTGGGCAGGGTCAATACTGCAGGTTAAACGTAGGAGCACTCTACTACTAAGCTATATCTCCAGTCTTTTTTTTTTTTTTTTAACTTTGAGAAATCTCATCAAGTTGCCTAGGCTGGGTTCAGATTTGAGATCCTTTTACCTCAGCCTCTTTATTAGCTAGGATTATAAATATGAGCCACTGTACCTGGCTAGTCTGTATCTTTTTTGGAAAAAAAAATACACCAAATTCATTTAATATTGATTCCCTAATGTCTGGTACATTTACGAAAGATCAGTAAATTCCCAGTAAGTACTCACTAAATGAAATCCATATATTAGCCAACTGACTTTTAAAAAGGGTGCCAAGTCAATTCAGTGAAAGGTTTTTTCAACAAACGATGCTCAGACAACAGAAGAGCCAGATTCAAAGGAATAAAACTGGACCCTTATCTAACACCATATATAAAAATTAACTCAATACACATATAAGACCTGAATATTTCAGCTACAACTATAAAACTCTTAGAAGAAAACAGGGATACTTGGATGTGGTAGCACATGCCTGTAATCCTAGCACTTGGAAGGCTGAAGTAGGAGGCTTACCTTGAGTTCAAGGCCAGTCTAGACTACATAGTGAGTTCAAGGTCAGCCTGAACTACATAGTAAGATCCTATCTAAAAAAAAAAAAAAATTTAAGAAGATAAGAACATAGGTATAAATCTTTGTGATTTTGGTAGGACATTTCAAAATAAAAACAACCCTGGGGGGGGGGAAACAAGATAAACTGTACTTAATCAGAATTTCAAACTTCTGCACATCAAAGAACATGATCAAAATGTCATGCACAGTGGTGTATGCCTGTAATCCCAATAGTCAGGAGGATCTTTATTAGTTTGAGGCCAATCTGGCATACACAGTATGTTCAAGGCCAGCCTGAACTATATATCTATATCTATATCTATA